TCTATTCAGTAGATTAGAAGATATATTAAAGATGCGGTTCCAAAACTTCACAACTATTGGGCACTGCCACCATATGTGGATATACGTACCGGGAGCTGCATAGCCCCTGAAACAATTTGAGGAACATTGTGGAGAAAAGGTAGCCAATCCAGTGGGTACTACCAGCGAATATATTTTAAGCAGTTACAGCAAAAAAAAATTAAGGTTTTAAAGAAAGGAATATAAGCGGACCGTTCTAAGGACCCTTTTCAGTAGAATACATCCCCAATTCCAAAAAAGTTGGGACGCTGTGTAAAATCTATATAACAGAATGCAATGATCCACAAATCTCATAAACCCATAATTTATTCACATTAGAAAACATATCAAATGTTTAAACTAGGGATGCATCAATATCGGTTTCTGGGTATCCAGTACCGATATTTATCTTTCGGAACTCACTCATACTGAGTCAGCTCACTTGTTAGGGAAAGATCGTCAAGCTCTACAGGTAAAAGAACAGGGCATCCAAAGCAGCATCTGCTCCTCATGGCCGAATCCCTGTTCACGATCGCTGCACAGCGGTCTCAGATGTCCCTCTGGTCGGCTCACTCGATCACCTGGCAGGCTGTCATGATCTGCTCGTCCCTCTACCTCCTAGCAGAGAAGACAGCGACACAGGATGTAGGCACTGCGGCCCTCTTGCTCACAGCAGCTACACACGTCCTCCACCCAGGAAATGCCTCCAGAAATCCTCCTACCGCCAGAGTGCACTTCTCTCCTCTCACAGCATTCTGGGATATGTAGTCCTGAATAATCAGTCCTGCTAACATCTCCCTGGGCAAAGAACTCATGTCCCACAAGTCTCTGCTAGCAGAAACCCATGTCAACTGCAACATCAGGTTTGCCCTTATGGGGCCTGTTCCACAACAATGCTACAGTATCATCAGTGATAAGCCTCTTACAGTATGCATACCAGCCTACATTCACCCCCCCCCGCCTCCCCCCTCTCCCAGATGATCCACATTTGCCGCACCAAACGCTGGGTGCATATTCAATTTGTTGCTGTTTAACAATCCAGAGAATGTGGGTAGTGGCTGTGTACTGTGCCTTCACACAGTCTTTGGAATATATGTAAACCTCCTACTTTGAAATCTTCATATACAAATACCTGGAATATATATATTTTTGAATACAGTTTTTTTTCTATTTTAGTTTCCTGAAATGTGCGTTTAAGAAAGCAGCATCTTGTAGGTGAGAAATCAAATGACATTTTCAAGTCAAATTGCATTTTAAGGTAAGGGGAATAACACGACAGTTCATGCTTTCTTCTTTTAAAAGAGAACTATGTGGTAAGTGTTTTTTCCCATAGTTCTCTTTAGGGTCACGGGAGGACATATAGTAGTGTCCTCCCGTGACCCAAAGCTCAGTATATCGTGAGCTACAGCTTGTTTTGAATATTACATTTTAGGAAATTTGGAAGGCAGGCCCCATGGAAGAAACAATATCTGTCCAGTGGCCCCCAAGTCAATTGAGTTTGAGACCCCTGATTTAGATGGACTTTACCTAACAAATTAAAGCCTAACTCCAGCTTCTTTACCCTTTTGGGATAAAGGTTTTAACTAAATGAGTAAAAGCTGACCTTTGTAAGCACCCTCGTCAGTGTCAAATGGTTTGTCTCATCCCTCCAGCTGTCACTTTGGCTGGACATCTTGGTCTGTTAAAAGAAGCTGAAGAATAATAAACTTACTAGCAGGTTTAAAAGGTAATACAATTGGATGTTTGTTCTCACCATAAAATTATTTTCTTGGAGTCCACTGAGGGTCATAGGACGTCTTAAACCTTTGGCTATTACTGCTACCTACAAGAGGATTGGACGCTGGCAAACAAAAAGAACTGTAGACCAGCGAAGTATAATCCCTAATATTTTTTTATACATAAAAGCACTACTGAGAACATGATCATAAACCACGAACCATCTAGAAGTGTTTATTGTGCCTAAGCAGTATCCTGAAAATCCCTCTTTTGTTGTGAATCTTTCCTACAAAATAGCAGTGCCCTTCCTGGTAAGTGAGGGTGCCTACAGTCCCATATCTGTATATCTGCAGTGTGACACTCAGACACTTCTGTATCTGACTGCTAGTCTCTGGAGGTTTGGCGAAGTCACTGCTGCTGCTCACTGTTCTCCTTGTTGGAGACCCTAATATTTGAAGATTAAGTCCTGTCTCTACCATGATGGCCACCTCCATGCAAAGACACACAGCAGAACGAGGCATTGTAAGTCAGTAATGGGGAAAAGTTCACCTGCAAAAGAGATCACAGGCAATACTAGGGACTAGTCCTTTGCCTTCTGTCTGCCTTCTTTGGTCACCGCTTCATAGTTCAGTTCCACTTTAAGTTCTGTAGCTAATAGCTATCAGAATAAGGAATCACCCAATACCTTGTTTTACAGTGCTGTCCCCTTCCAGTGCCACCCAAGAGCGAACACCTGTAGTGAGGCAAATAAGAAGGCTGCTATTGCGGACCTCCTTCTAATAATACTAGTTGCTTGACTATGCCTGCCTCAGTTACCGACCTGGAGAAAGCATGTAGGTTGGAACGTCAGAGAGCTTGACCTGCACGTATGTTTCACGTCTGTGCCTTAGAGAGCATTGAAGGCACAGCATCAGTGCAACAACTGTCATTTACGGAGGGGTCAGTAATGGATCCCTGCATATTCTCTTGCTACAGGTTTCCTTTGTGTCCACATCCTGACAGTGAAGCGGATGTGCAGCCCCCATCTCAGAATACAATGCTTCGAGCCCGAGTACCCAGATAGCATCCCCGAACTTACTCTGTGGGCTTTCTATGAATATTCAGCTAGAGACTTCAAAAATTCCTATTGAAAGAAGACTGTGGAAAAGGTACAAGCTGAGAGTTTATGTTACCAGTAAAAACTGTATGTAGGCTCCGATGAGCAGGACCTTATTTCCCCTTATGTTCTGTATTATTAACAGTGCTGCATATGCATATTCTAATAAAAAGTGCTATCACATACCAAGGGGATAGATAGATAATTCTTATAATCAATCTATCTATCTATCTATCTATCTATCTATCTATCTATCCCCTTGGTATGTGATAGCACTTTTTATTAGAATATGCATATGCAGCACTGTTAATAATACAGAACATAAGGGGAAATAAGGTCCTGCTCATCGGAGCCTACATACAGGTTTTACTGGTAACATAAACTCTCAGCTTGTACCTTTTCCACAGTCTTCTTTCAATAGGAATTTTTGAAGTCTCTAGCTGAATATTCATAGAAAGCCCACAGAGTAAGTTCGGGGATGCTATCCACAGAGATAGATAGATAATTCTTATAATCTATCTATCTATCTATCTATCTATCTATCTATCTATCTATCTATCTATCTATCTATCTCTGTGAATGCTATGAGTAAAACAAAGGCAAAACATTTCTGTATGTATAAAAAATAAGTATTTTATTATATTAATTACATCTTTGTAAAAACTGTTAAAGCTGAACTCCAGGCTGATTAAAAAATTAAAACATGCAGTGGGTAATTCCTTCCTTCCCCTTCACACAGCAATCATTAAATGCTCATTAAAATAGAACTATGGGGTAACCTTTTTATCTAATAGTTCTCTTTAGTGTCACAGGAGGACATATACTAACCTCCCAAAGCTCAGTATTTAGTGAGCTATTGCCCGTTATATATACTGAGAGCACTGCAGCCGGGATGGATCCAGACAATACTGTCGAGATCCACCCGGCTTGCTGATTGACAGCGGGCTTTGCCTATCTAGAGGCAGAGCCAGCTATGCCTGCCCCCTCACCCATCTGTTCCTCCAGTCAGCTCTGGAGAATTGGAACATGGAATCCCTGTGGGGAGAGTTAACTGACAATCACCACTCTGCAGGGAGATGATCGGGAAGTGAGAGAGCGACAGTATGTGTTCACTCACTTCCCGATCTATAGAGTTGATGTGTGACAGTTTCAATGTCACACGTCACTCTAACTATGAGGATGAGTGTGAATCACTCACCTCATAGTTCTCCTTTAAATCTAGGGAGGGAATGAAGAAACTGTATCAGGGGGTTCAAGGGTTCAGCAATGTATTTTTCTACCTGATGCTCTGGGCTGTGGATGAGCCCTTGCCATCCTCACATGCAATGCAGGGCTATTAGCACTGCTTTGAATGTAGAAGAGGCAGGGGTGCAGCCGGGAGCGCCTTAGAGAGGAGGCTTTGGGGGACCAGTCTGATAGGTAGAGGTAGCCTGTCAGAGCAGGAAATAAGGCAAGTACACTGCCTGGCCAAAAAAAAAAAAAGTCACCACCTGGATTTAGATAAGCAAATAGGTCAGAGCCTTCCATTGGATATGTGTTATGATCTGGGGGGCTTCAGTTGGTCAAGTCTAGGCTCAGCAATTTTATGTCCTCCATAAATGAGGTCAGCTACCTACCTGAATATACTAAATGACCAGGTTTTTCCATCAATGGATTTTTTCTTTCCTTGGACATATTCCAAGATGACAATGCCAGGATTCATCGGGCTCAAATTGTGAGTGGTTCAGGGAGCATGGGGCATCATTGTCACACATGGATTGGCCACCACAGAGTCCAGACCTTAAGCCCATTGAGAATCTTTGGGATGTGCAGGAGAAGACTTTACACAGTGGTCCGACTCTCCTATCATCACTACAAGATCTTGGTGAAATATTAATGCAACTCTGGATGGAAATAAATATTGTGACATTGCATACGCTTATTAAAATGATGCCACCAGAAATGTGTGCCGTAATCAAAGCTAAAGGCGGTCCAACAAAATATTAGAGTGAGTGACTTTTTTGGACCGGCAGTGCATCTTATTACTCTACACCTAGCCTTTAAGAGCATTTAAAGAGGGACACTGCAAGATTTTCTTTTTCCTGCCTGGTGTTCAGCTCTAAAAAACTGATTTTATAAAACAGATTTTTTTTTTTTAAACAAGCAATTTAGAGTAAAAAAACAAAACATATCAAATCATAAGTTGCTTAGTTCTCATATCAAGTTTGGAAGTTCATGGTTGTCCACTGAGCTGCAGACAAGAAGCCATCAATTTCATGTTCTCCCTCGCTGGCACTGCGGGTTATATCATCCCAATTATAGCAGATGTACAGTTATTTTTAGATGTTTCCCAGGTCCAGTTTGTGAGAAGCTTTTCTCCTCTCAGAAACAACAAGATTAAGCTGCAAATAAATACAAATACATTATAAACTTACATGAAGTTTAGCACAATTTAAAGATGAACTAGAATACGCAAAGATATTGAAAAGGAAATGCCAGCTTGTTACACCTTTAACAAAATCATAAAAGCGGCTCCCAATATCCTTATACATTACAGCAGCAAACTACTGTGTACAACAACAGCAAAGATCAGCAAAGAGATCAACAAATGATTTAAAAGAAGTGTGAGGATGCATATGTATGCTGCAAAGTGAAGAAAGGAAAAGATGACAAGGAAAATAGAATAGCATTTGACTGAGAACTGGAAGAAAGAACAATTAGAAAATAAAACAAGACGTCCCTACAGAGAACAAGTCAGGGATGAGCATTGTAAGAATCAGAATCTCCATTCTTAAAAGGAGAACTATGGGGTCAGTGTTTTTCCCCATAGTTCTCCTTAGGGTAACGGGAGGACGCAAACTAGCGTCCCCCCGTCACCCTAAGCTCAGTATATCTCGCGGTATACTGAGATGCCGCAGCCGGAGCGGATCCCGACATTGATGTCGAGATCCGCCCAGCTGCATGAGTGACAGCTGGCTCTGCCTATCTAGAGGCAGAGCCAGCTGTACCCGCCCCCTCCCCCGTCCGTTCTGCCAGTCAGCGCTGGCAGATCGGAGCGGGGAGAGGGGAATACAGCCCCTCCCCTGTCACGGCAGAGAGCTGTGACAGGATCGAGAGGTGAGCGAGCGCTGGTATGTGTTCCCTCACCTCCCGATCTACTGAGCCGACCTGTGACAGTCTCATTGTCACAGGTCGGCTAGAACTATGAGGTGAGTGGAAATCACTCATCTCATAGTTCTCCTTTAACGCTGAACTCCAGCCTTACACCGTTGTACAGACTCCTGTATTTAAACTGTTTACTCTGATTTCACTGTACACTGTGAGCCTCTCATAGTGTATGCTAAAAGCTGCAGCAGGTCAGATAGCGACTCATTTCCTGGCTGGAGGACGCACAGACTCATCCTTCCCATCCCTTTATTCATTAGATTTCAATATTTGTAATAGTGGAGGCTCAGAATGTGGGTGTGACCTAGGGCAGTCTACATGCGAATGCAGTCTGCCTAGGATTGGCTACTCCTCCAGACTGACACCTGCCCATGAAGGCATTTTGATATTTGTATAACCTCTCCCAAGAGCCAGCCTACTGTTTGTATCAGGGCTGAGGGCTCTTGAGTTCTTGGATGTTTCCAGGAAGCTATGTACAGCCCCCTGCTGACTGCTCCCACCAGCCACGATCTGCTTGCATTGCACAGAGTCCACAGATTACATCACTGGGTTTAAAAAAAGTTATGTTATGAGCATGTCAAATGCTCCTATCCCTGTTGCAACCACTCGGCTCCATCTGGTGGTTGCCCCTTGTAACGGCACCTACCACAGTCCAGTCAGCTGCAGGCTGATCGGGCTAATCAGCCTGGCTACATGCCCCTTACAGCCTGGGCTTTGTTTAGTTGTGCTCTATTTAAACATCACAAGCCCAGGGCTCAGGACTTGTGATAGTTCAGGCCTGGTCTTGGCTTTGTCTACACAAGCCTGTATCCTTATCCTGAATCCCAGTCTTGCCTTTGATCTTGTATCCTATACTTCTTGTATTTGTTTCCTGTTCTCGTCTTGTGTTTTTCTTTCTGTTTGTTTTATACCTCAACATCACTCAGTACTTCTTGTTCCTGGAGGCCAGCCCGTGGCATCACCTGATCAGAGTAAATAGTTTAAGTCCTGGGGGCATCCAAGTACCGGTAGGCATGCTTGCCTTATGGGAACGGCGGCTGCTAAAGGTGAAACAATTAGCCACTATTTGTTCTGACAGCGTGTGTCCACAGCTGGTCCTGACATATGTGATGAAATCTGAAGGGTTTTATTTAAGTATGCCATTAGCATGTTGATGAGGGGGGGGGGGCAAAAGGAACCATGTAAGGCAACATATAAGCATATCAAACTACAGCTTTAATGAGCAGAAATGCCATCTCTTGGAGTAGGGAAAAACTGAAGTACTTGGATTTCTTATAAAGGAAAACAAGTAAATAAACATAAATGAAGCAATCCCTGAGAGGAAAGGCTTTGCTATTATAACTATTCAAGAGTGGAGATTCAGATTATTACATCTGCACATAAGTGATTTTCTTAAATCTGTCATGAAAAATCTTGATTAAACCTAAAACAGTCAACGCAAAGTGCCTGTACATGCTTATTTTTGTATTTTAACCCTCTTGTGGGTTAGAAAGCCTGGGCATAAACAAATATGAATAAACAAATTCTGTCATTTCACAGTATAAAATATTAGTTTAAAGGGTATGTTACCCTAAAAGTTAATATTGAATATATATGTCTGTGTATTTATGTACCTGTTGGGAAATCTAGCCCAATCCTTTGATGTGGAAAACCTGGTGATCTGACCACACTCAGCATGGAAGCAGATTCGTGCTGGCATGATCAATTTGCGCAGTTGTGCATTTTGCTTGGAGTCACAGGACGCCATGCTAATGCACGGCATGCCTGTATCTCCCGCCACGTCCCGCACCCAGCCCTGCTTTGTTGATTGACAGCCACTCCTGGCCTTGATGGCCAAACCACCCAAAAGGAGAGACAGGCATGCCGTGTGTCAGCATGGTGCCATTTAACTCCAAGCAGGGAGGAGAAGCTGCTGTGATGTGACATGGCCGACATATGAGACACTAAAAAAGGTATTTAACATTGATTTTTTTTTTTAAAAGAAGAAAAACTACTTGATGTGTTACAGTTGGCTATTATAATAATGCGCCTTCATATTTTAAATAATGAGCCTTAATCATTAACATAATGAGATAAATTGTTATAATTAGCTTGTGCATGATTTTGCCATTCATTTTACAGCATGTCGTTCTGTAATTGGAAAGTGTTAATTAGCATGTAGAAAAAATTAATATATATTGCACGCATAAAACAATCCTTGAACGTGATTCCTCAGCCAGTCACAACCTCAGAGACACCTCGGTATGGCTTACACCTTAACCTACTGTACTTGAAGTAATCACTGATCGTTATATTGGTATTCATGGTCTACTGCACATTTTCCTAACATGAGTAGGTAAGAGGCAGAATCTCGATCAGGTTGTATTGCTTTCTGTGTTCTGGTTGAGGTGATTTCCCCTCACTTCCTATCCTGGTGACAGGTATAATCAACACCGTATTAGAAAAAAAATTGATACATGAGTTTTAGGAGAAGAAAAATTGCCACAAATAAATATGTCAGGGTCACTTTCCTGGGAAGATATTTAGAATGCATGTTTTATTGTGGAGAATGTAGCTAGTGTTGCCGTAACATGGTAAGGAGGCGGGAACAGTCTCCTTCTATGCTGCCATTTCACTTTCATTATAGGTCTCCTCCCGAATCCCCACCCTTTAAGTGGACAGTGAAAGGAGCAGCAGCATACTGACAAATTCATCTCTCTGTCAATCTGCTCCCACCTCCTATCAGCATGCCCCTTGCAGCACAACTAACTGACTAATGTGCTGTTGCCCTACCCCTGCCTCCTAACACTGAGTTCTGCTGTACAGGTAAATGCAAGAAGCTAATAACAAAGTCAAATTCTTTAACTTACACCGAGTGAATTAAAAAAAAAAACACATTTAGGGATGTATTAATTATTACAGAGCTGAATCATTTTAAGTCTTTTATATCTACCTGGATTTCAGCTTCAAATGTTATACAGGAAAAGGTTAGTTGAAATGTCATTCATAATTTCCAGTTTACTACCCTTGCCCCAGGACTACAATCTCCCTATTCAAATCTTTGCTACAAGGACTATGCTGACCTAGGTGTGGTTAAAAAAGGGACGTTGCGCTTTATATTTCTAGGTGTTTTATAGGACTGAACTGCTTTTTAATTTCCGTACATAATGGCGTTAGAATAAATAAAATACAACTTTGTTATAACCTGTTTTGATGCCTGCACCGCTTGTTCCTCCGCTTTGTTTAGACGTTTCTGAAGTCTGGTGCTTTTTTCTTGTAAATCAGCAATCATTTTTTCCAGCTGTTGAATAATAACACGTACAGTTAAATGAATAAAAATTGCAGTGCTTTTTTTGGCATTGAACACTAGCTTTGTTCGACATCTGTTTGGCTGCTGTGCAGAACACTTGTCCTCCCTTCCAGTCTCTGTGCATGACACCCAGAGTCAATAGCAGATAAGGTCATAGTCAATAGCAGGTCAGCAAATGGAAGACAAAACATTTTTTCCTTTTGGATAAAGTGCTTAGGAGGAGCAAGCAGTTTATCGGGATGCTTCCAACATCCATAGAGAAATAGTTGGAAAAGTGAGTGCAACTCAAGAATGCACCAGGCTAATCCTCTAGTTTCAGAGTGGTGTGCACTACATCAGAGCTGAAATGGTCACATTTATTTTAGAAGCAATAGCAGAAGGCTGCGACTCCTCGGCGCTAAGCTCATAAGTCAAGGAGTCAAGTGGCTCAGAATTAGAGGCTCTATGTTAAAAAACTCAGCAGAAATAGGAGAGAGTCCAGCCACACCTCCTAGAGCCATAGAGGACTCCATGGACAGAGCAGACTCTAAGAGCAGAGAACAACACAATTCAAGGCTGCAGACATTGTCATTAGGCAAGCAAGCCAGAAGCTGATAGCAGAATGTGAGTTGTTGGGTGCACCTGGTATAGAAGGACTGTGTCAACCCCCCGTCTAGAATCCGACATGTTGCGATTGCGTGGCAGTAAGGCAACATATAGGCTAAGGGTTAGAAGCAAGGTCTCAGGTACTCATGAAACCCAGACAGGTGGTTGCCGGTTAGGGTGAGATGGATGGAGGTGACAAAGGTTCGCTGTAGGTGGGCAGCAGAAGTGGATCGAAGTACCACATGGCTCTTTGGAAGCAGGAGCGGATAGAGGTTTCCTTGATGCTTTATGGTGGTAAAGAGTGTGTCTAGCAAATGTGTGCGACACTCCACCCAGTGGATGACGTAAGCGATCAGTACCACAAACTTAACTCCCTTTGTGGAAAAAACGGTGGCTATGTGGAAAAATGCCATCCAGTAATCTATGTAAACGAGGTAGGCTCTGTTGCTCGGCCGATCAACTGAAGTGAATCTTCACAGGCAGGACAAGTGCTCAGGCAAAGCCACTGGCTCTGGACCTGGAAATCACTCTGCAAGTAGCTTTTACAGAACGGAGTGCCCTACATGGAACCCAGTGCCCGAAGATCACTTTTAGGCTATTTACCCCCCCACGTCCAGTCCAGATGTAGTGCTACAAAAGACAGACTGCAAAGGAGACAAAGCTTCAGTGATATAGAGAAGAGCCTTTATTTAAAAAAAAAGGAAAAAAGCGGCGAGCATAAAAAAAACCCCTAGGTCATGTGATCTCTATTAAAAGGTGAGGTTTTGCCGCCGACCTGATCTTCAACCCTCCCCTTTAATAAAGATGACCAAATGAGACTTTTAGTTATGTGAGCAGCACTGAACAGAACCATAGTTCAGAACACATAGTTTAGCACTAACTTTTATTTACCTCAGCAAGACTGTTAGCATAGCTTTATGTTAATAAAAGAACCCTTTACTCTGCCCTCCCAAAAAGGGGAAAGTAACAGATGTGCTGGAAAGCAGGCATGACAAGGAGCCTTTATTTACCTTCCACACACTGGCCTGCTGTGTAAATTCCAACCAAACATTGGGATGAAGTTTACACAGGGCTAAAAACCTTGTCTTTACACCAAATAACAGTATTTTGGCCTGGTCTGTGACAGTGCTGGGTGTCAGAGCAGAAAATCCCCAAGCACCAGCAGTGTCATTTTGGAAAAAGTGTGAATCACAGTCTCCCTATATCCAGAAATACCAGGGAGTGTCTCTTCCCTTCTGGCTGCTGAATGGAGTGACAGAGGAGTGGAGGGAAGATGAGTATGTGCAGCTGGATAGAACCTTGCAAAGCAAAGCACAGGTTCACTTTAACATGCAGCCTATTAATACTTAGATAACAGACAGAATGAATCTGCATAGGGAACAGAGGTGTACATCCCAAGTCCTAAAGGCTCATAAAGGCCAGATTTTTGGGAGTACATAATAATTTGGCTCAAAGACACAAACTTGGGGACTCCTGCAGCAAAATGGATGAGACTTCATGGGTGTGGGATAAGAGTTAGGGACTCACCAGCAGAATTCCAAGGAGATATAAGAGGCTAGTAAAATATAGTAGTGTATAAATCGGAAGTAAAGAGAAAAGACTGTAAAAGCATTGGCATCTATGATACACATATATCACTTGTATTGCTCCATTTTATACAGAGTGTATAATACAGAATTAATGATCAGTATCGGGTGGAAGGACCTTTAATAACTTTATAACTCATGACCCTAAAGGATTGGGGTTGTCCAGCTCTCATTTACATCACATCTGATATCATAAAGAAACTATATGCTGCAGCTTATATGAAATAATAACATTGGCACAGCTTTCCACACCATATAGTCAGTACTGTCACCAACCAATCGTAACTGATTACCACATCAGGCAAGAGAACTGGTTGAAAAATGAACCTTGGAACACAAGAACATGATATGTGGCTGTATTACCTCAAACATTTTCTCATGGCTGGCTTCTAACTGTGAAAGTAACTCATGTTTTTGCTGTTTTTCTCTTTTTATTTCCCTTCTGAAAAAAAAAAAAAAAATATATATAATATATACACATACACACACAAAGATTTTAGCCAACGTCTGATTAATATGAAATGCATTACAGTTTAAAGAGGTCCATAAAGCATCAAATATTCCTAAAATTACCATACAACACACCATGTTTAAAATTAAGGCTAACCTCCCGGCTCCCCTCCGCCCCACACAAACCACCCTTTTAGTAATTGCTGCCATATAACAAAAAACACAAAACACCTCCAGTTGAACATACAACCATCGGCCTTAACACCCACCTAATATTGAGCACGTCCCCCTTTTGCTGCCAAAACAGCCCTGACCCGTTGATGCATGTACTCCACTAGGCCTCTGAAGGTATCCTGTGGTATCTGGTACTAAGTATCGGCATTGGTACTGGTACTAAGTATCTGGTACTAAGCCCTTCGAACTAAGCTAGCTCTTCTATTGGAATGAACTGCATGGGCCACCCTTCGCTCCCCACGTGCAACAGTGAGCATTGGCCACGCATGACCCTGTCCCTGGTTCACCAGTTTTCCTTCCTTGGACCTTTTTGGTAGGTCCTGACCACTGCAGACTGGGAACATCCCACAAGAGCTGCAGTTTTGAAGTTGCTCTGACCCAGTTGTCTAGCCATCACAATTTGGGGATTGTCAGAGTTGCTCAAATCCTTACGCTTGCCCCTTTTTTTCTGCAACACATCAATTCAGAGTGAAAATGTTCACTAGCTGCCTAGTGTCCCACCCACTTCCAGGTGCCACTGAGATGAGGAAATCAATGCCGATCAATCACCTCTCAGTGGTGATTATGTTATGATTGATCAGTGTATATACATATTTACCTAGCTTGGTGTTCCTCCTTGAACTCTAACAATTACATACAATGGAGGGAGAACCAATATTTAACCTATTCATTCCCTAGAAAGTTGTGACTGAGAAATGAGGCTCTGTGTGCCTCACTAGCTGTTGAACTGGCTGCATCCTGAAAACCAGAGCCAGTCACAGAATGGCTGCCTGTGCTCTATACAGGCACATTGTGGAAGCAAGGCGACTGATTAGCCCAGCCCTCCTAAAAGCACCTCTCAAGTGAACAAGCACTCTGCTAATCACACTTTCACACAATCTGAAGTGCTAATAATATAATTAGGATATGGAAACTATATCACATAGATGTGTGCCTGCAGCTATAGTGTAAATCTCCCCTAATTCCTCTTGATCCCCTAGTATTTTCCCCTCGGCATGTGATGACTCATGAGGATAAAGTTTGCAGATTCATTTAGAGGTCACTTGATGATAATAATCCCACTTAGCAGCGCACCAATCGTGTAGCAATAAAAGCAATTCATTCTATAACAAACCATTTAAATGGCTCGGTGGCAGCAAGCAGACACAAGTTTAATCAAATGCCAAGTCCATTTTGCCCAAATGACTCACAAAATAATGAATACTGTGAATTGCTTTATAAAAGCGAAACAGGGCTAACCTTAATTTATAAATCTATAAAAGAAGCCTAAGTATATATTACTGGTGACAGCGTTTTATAGTGTACTTTGGTAAATGTCCTGAAGTGCACAGGAGTCAAAATATATCAGACACAATCTAACCGAAAATGAATCTCATTTAAAGTTTAATTACATACTTCCATGTGTTATGAATATATTCAAGCCTTCCACTCAGAAATAAATTGTGCCTGGATGCAGAGAACATGGTGTTATAGGCTTTACAGAGTAAAACCATGGAAATAATTCTTATTAAATCAATCTGCCCTCAGAAAAAAAAACAGCCACAAGCATATTGATAAGGGCGAGCACTTTGCCCCAACTACGCCGCCTGTGTTATCTCTGCATGACAAAGGAAAACATTACAGTAGAAGCCCTAATTTATACTTACCCAGTCTGACTTTTTTTCTGCAATGTACGTTTTCTTTTTGTGGTCCCATTCTGGTCCCAGCCATAGTCCATTCCTTGAAAATCTCACATTCTCAGAATTCAAAGCAATTCTTGGGCTAGCAACATGGATGTCATACTTAGAAGCATGTCACACAAGTATATGCCGTGTCAGGGGTAGGCAACACAAGGACTCCAGTTGTTATTGAACTACAAATCCCATGAGGCATTGCAAGACTGATAGCCGCAGGCATGACTCCCAGAGGCATGATGTTATTGGTAGTTTCAGTGCAGCTGGAGTGCTGAGGTTGCCTTTCCTGTGATGTGTAGTTCCCTCTCTCTGCATCACCAATTACATTGAAAATTCTGGAGCTGGCCATACATCTATGGAAGAAGAAGAAATGCTCAATTACCCCACCCACACTAAACAGCATGGATGTTGGAATCCCCCTCCACAATGGACTGTCAGCTGATTGGCCAAGTGTTTTGCGGACCAGCTCCATTAGCAAAAGCTGATTGAAAAATTTAACTGAGGGGTGCTGACAGTGCTACATACTGGTCGCATTTCAACCAGTGTATACCCAGCATTAATTAGGCCTGGATCTGATTCATGGGAAACTGTCAGAATTTTCTTTGTACTCTTATGTGTTTACATCTGAGACAGCAAGGAGGGTGTTCCAGCATCACCATAAGGTACCTTCCAGGATCATCAGATTACAGCCAGAGGGACTGGTGCAGGACAACTACTTCTGGATGAAAACTGAACTACTCAGCAGGTAGGCTTTGCTACATGTACGCATCTGAAGGATTTCATTTCCAATCCAGGCCTAAACTGTTAGAGGGAATTATTAAGGACTACTTAGTGGAATTCGTCCGGGATCATAGTATAATAAGTGATATGCAGCACGGATTTAGGAAGGATCGTTCTTGCCAGACCAACCTGCTGACCTTTTACGAAGAGGTAAGTAGAGATCTGAATGGGGGGAGGCCGGTGGACGTAGTATATCTGGACTTTGCCAAAGCGTTTGATACGGTGCCACATAAACGCTTGTTATACAAGCTAAGGGCTATGGGCGTAGATGAATTTGTGTGTACGTGGATAGAAAACTGGCTACAAGAACATGTACAAAGAGTATCAGTTAATGGCACCTTCTCAGACTGGGCTGAGGTCATGAGTGGCGTGCACCAATGTTCTGTGCTGGGTCCCATGCTTTTTAACCTGTTTATTAATGATATCAGGGAGGGAGTGAGAAGTCATGTCTCAGTGTTTGCTGATGATACGAAAATTGGGAGGTTAGTAGACACAGATTTAGACATTATAACTTTACAGGAGGACCTGGATAGAATCGGGGAATGGGCAACTGTATGGCAGATGAAGTTCAATGTCAATAAATGTAAGGTAATGCACCTTGGAGTTAAAAATAGGCAAATGGACTATACACTTCTGCTGACCTTTTACGAAGAGGTAAGTAGAGATCTGAATGGGGGGAGGCCGGTGGACGTAGTATATCTGGACTTTGCCAAAGCGTTTGATACGGTGCCACATAAACGCTTGTTATACAAGCTAAGGGCTATGGGCGTAGATGAATTTGTGTGTACGTGGATAGAAAACTGGCTACAAGAACATGTACAAAGAGTATCAGTTAATGGCACCTTCTCAGACTGGGCTGAGGTCATGAGTGGCGTGCACCAATGTTCTGTGCTGGGTCCCATGCTTTTTAACCTGTTTATTAATGATATCAGGGAGGGAGTGAGAAGTCATGTCTCAGTGTTTGCTGATGATACGAAAATTGGGAGGTTAGTAGACACAGATTTAGACATTATAACTTTACAGGAGGACCTGGATAGAATCGGGGAATGGGCAACTGTATGGCAGATGAAGTTCAATGTCAATAAATGTAAGGTAATGCACCTTGGAGTTAAAAATAGGCAAATGGACTATACACTGGGCGTTTTGTAGCGCGTTCCTATGCTCTGCAAAACGCTCAAACACCGAAATCCCATTATTTCCTATGGGTATGGTTCACACCTGGGCGTATTACAGGCCGTATGAACGTGCTGCAAAACGCCCTACGCCCAAAGAAGTACAGGAGCTTCTTTGGGGCGTATTTGCCGCGCTATCCATTGGGATAAAGCCAGGTAGCCATCGGAAACGGGCGTTTGTCGCGCAGGTTTTTTTTAACCCGCGAATCGCTGTAAAAAACGCGCGACAAATGCGCATATTCGATACGCCTAAGTGTGAACCCAGCCTTATGGGTGTGCCACTAGGGAAGTCAGAAATGGAGAAGGATTTGGGGGTTATTATAGACTGCAGACTGAAGAATAGCTTGCAGTGCCAGGCTGCTGTAAACAAAGCAAGTAGATTCCTGTCTTGCATTAAGAAGGGAATGTCTTGCAGGGACAAGTCTATAATTTTGCCACTTTACAGATCACTGCACTGATCACATCTGGAGTATGCGGTCCAGTTTTGGTCACCGATACTCATAAACGATGTTCTTGAGCTGGAAAAAGTCCAGAGGAGGGCAACCAAACTCATTAAGGGGTTCGAGGATCTGAACTATGAAAAAAGGTTGTTAAAATTAAATATGTTCTCGTTGAAGGTTAGGAGATTAAGGGGGGACATGATTTTTCATGTATAAACTATTCAAGGGTGACAGCAACATTATCAACAAACTGTTTACGGTTAGCTCCGTAACAAAGACCAGAGGGCACAACCAAAAATTGGTGGGAAAAAAATTTCAACATACAGGGCGCAAGGGGTTCTTCACAGTTAGAGCGGTTAGGGTCTGGAACTCGCTGCCGCAGGAAGTGATCTCAGCTAAGAGTGTTGAATCATTCAAGAGACTCCTGGACGAGTTCCTTGGAGACCATAATATACATGGGTACAGGTACTGCTAAGAGAAAAATCACACATGGACTCATATACACGCACACACCTGCTCAAACATAAATGCATACACGCAATAGGTTGGACTTGATGGACTTATGTCTTTATTCAACCTCAAATACTATGTAACTATGTAACAATCTCTACTGCAATGCACCTTTTATCAAATCCAAGAATAAAATCAAAATCTGCCTAAAGATTGACCTGGAGAAGGATAAAAGATCTATTA